ATGTGGATTAAAAATTAAATTTTTAGTATTTTGATAAAAACATGATGATATGCGTGCTTGAGAAAGTAATAAAAATTGTAAATCGCATATCGAAAATGAATTTAATAAAAATAAAATTTAAAAAAATGACGACCAAATGTGGACTAAAATTTCTTCAACTTTTTTTAACGTGCCCTCAATGACCACATTGACGTGACATTGACGTGACAATTCTTGATTGGATAATAAATGCCCTATAAAATTGTGGTCGATAAAACTCTCACGTTTATGGCCTCATTTTGTGCATCTACCACTCTTAAAGATAGTGCAACACCACATGCCAACTCGATAGTTCTTCAAATGATTAATTATTTTCATTCAGAAAGACCATGGATGCCCAAAAAAAAAAATTAGTTTGGGGACTTGATTGCTACTATCTTCAATTAGGGGACCTCCACTGCAATTTTCTTATTTATGGATAGAGTCTGCTCAATAGTCCACACAAAAGCAAACGCGTGTTTGATTCTCACCGTATAAGCCTCCAAAATTGCTACATATAGCTGGTCTGGTCTAGGTACAGATTAAAATCCATTTTAACGAGATTTCTCATTCTTCCAACAGTAAATTAAATATCAAGAAATCACAAAGTGCCAAAAACGTCCGTCGACAGTCAAAAATTTTCAAAAACGTTGAAGCCCAAAATGTCCAAACCGTTTAGTTGAAGGGTAAATTGTGAACGTTCATTTTGGGTCCTGCAACATCTACCATCGATTGTGTTTTTCGCAAAAGAATAATCGACAACTTCACTGAAAGAGGCCCCACGGGTGCAAAAAATGAGATTGGTGAAAATCCCATTTTCACGGGTCTCAAACGCGCAATAAGTGATTAGACATTTTAAATGAAAATGAATTTGATTTAAGATGGCACTTAGGTCGGTAATTTGCATCACTTGGACTGCATCGCATTACATTTTTAAAATGGGGTCAACTTCATCACTACAAACAAAAAGTTGAAAAATGAATGGTGATCACGTGCTTATGTACGTACAG